AACATTTCAGGAAGAAACTCTAACATGATGTCTTTTAAAATAAACTTGTATTTAAAATGTTCTTTCATATAAACAACTTACCTTCAGTAAATTAGTGAAGGTCCTTGTGCTGTGGTGGCACCTGCTGCTGAAGCAATGTTAAAAAAAAAAACCTGCACCGCTAACCAGGTCTGCAGTGGGGGCTGTCAGAAGCTCTGCTGGCTTGTCTGGCTCCACCCACCTTCTAAAAACACTTGAGGGTGTCAGGAGAGGTGCCAGCGGGCACCCGTGGGCACTACACTGGGTGCCCCTGTGCCAGACTTCCTAGGTGTACAGAAGAAAATTAGGCCACGAGGGAGCAGAGGCAGCCTCCAAGTAGCCCAATGAGAACTGAGCATATTTATGGTCCTCTGTGAAAAGCATCGGTGCAAGTCTCCATTCTGACCCTTTGGCTGCTAGGCTGAATCACAGAATCACAGAGTTGGAAGGGACCTCTGGGGTCATCTACTCCAACCCCCTGCACAGTGCAGGAAATTCACAACTACCTCCCCCTCCACACCCGCACTGGTCGTCCTTCCACACCCAGAAAGACAGGCAACTGGCATTTTTCTTATTTCCGTTCAGAGCAGTAAAGAGGAGGGAAGCTGTGGTCAGAGATCTAATTACCCACCCCTCTAATTCTATTCCTTTTCCAGGACTTTTTAAGCTGTGAAGCGATCTGCCCAGATTGTAGTTTAAGTGGTCCTGTCCAGGGGTGGAGATTAATTAGCACAAGAAGAAAAGTGTTTCCTGTGTTCCTACTTGATAACACACACCCTGGCCTCCTCCTAGTGCCAGAACTTTTCATATTCAGGGAGTGGAGTAGTTTATCTGTACCTCCCATGCTCTGCATTTTAAGAGTTCTGGTTGAAACGGGGGTCAGGGGATATGTACCCTCAGGAGGTGCATAATGCTAGGTGGGAATCCTTTGACCCCAGTTTCAACCAGAACTCTTTCCTGTAGAACATGGAGGGAGAGGTGAAATACTCCCCTCCGGGAATACGAAGAGTTTGGCATTCTGATGCTGTACAGCGGGAGGAAAAATCCCCCATCTCTTCTCTCCCTTCCTCTGCAATTCCATGTCTCCCATCGCCCCACATTTAAGTAACAGAAGCTGATCCTTCAGACAGCAAACAGCAACAACACTCTCTTTAGCAAAAGATTTGTTTACTGAGAAAAGTACTAGTTCCAGGTTAAGGCATCTTTCTGTTAGAACTAATGATTTTTGGCAAGTTTCCAGTTAATATAGGCAATTCAAAAGTACCCCTCCCCAATAGCAGAGCGCGCACACATACACACACGTGTCACATTCATTGCACCTAACCATTACATCTCCCCCCCCCCCCCAATGGGATGGCAGCATCCCACTATAAGGAGATCAGTCTCCAGGCATCTCCCCCCACCCCCGAGATGTTTTTAGTTTATTTCTACAGTCCTTAGACCAGTCATACAAAAAGAAGTACACCTTTGTAGGGGGGAGGTGTCATCCTTGGGAAAGTTAAGCCGCTAAGAGCACAAGGTTCACACGTACATCTATCACTCCCCTCCCCACAGGAATTCCCCTTCCCCCTTTTGTTATGGCAAACAAAGCTGGGTGGGGGAGGTTTGACACAGTTGAGAAAACACAAACATTCCTAAAATCCATGGACACTGAGAAGATATTTTAAATGAGACTACATTTGGTAGGTTCAGGTGGGGAGCCGTTTTGATCTGAAATAATAGAACAAAGTTTGAGTCTGGTGCCACCTTGAAGACGAACAAAGCGTACCGTAATTCTGAGTATAAGCTTTGTTGGTCTTCCAGGTGCCACTGGACTCAAACTTGGGTAGGTCAAGTTTCTTAATGAAGCCTAAACAAGAAGAGAACATCAGTGTTAAAAGGAGGGAGGTGCCATTGGGAGGAAAGAGCCGAGCCCCAGAGCCAGCAAAGATGGGTTGGATCCATGGGGCTGGCGGCCATGTGGGAGTTGAGCTCTGAGAGAGCAGCTGTAACCTTTTGGATCGCATGGCCAAAGGGCCATTGAGAAATGCTGCTGTGGGAGTGGTACAAGCCCAGGCAAAAAGCCATTGGCTTTGAGTGCAGCCTGTGCGGAGTGAGTGTACTTGAGAGAAATCCCATTGGAAGACAGCGAGCCACAGGCCCAAACTGGATGAGTGAGCATCTACTGCTGGCCAAGGTGCTCTAAGACACTGGCACAGAGCCATGAACAAGCACAACAACAACAACAACGAGCTGAACGGGTGAGGCTCTTTTCTGATGTAAACTTCATTTGCACGGCCCTTGTTCCCAAGTCCAATTTTAAGACGTTTGTGCTTTTGCAGGTGGTTTTCTGCATGGATATTTCTTGCTAGCTTGAGATTGTGGAATTGCTGTCGCAGCGTCCTGGCTGCTGAGCTCTGGAGGGCTGGCTTTCAGCCTTTCCCGCTGAAGCCCTTCTCACGCTCGAGGACCTGTTCCTGGTGAGCGGAGTCTCCTGCAGCACTGTCAGAAATGAAAGAAGTCCCAAGGGAGGCCCACATATGTGGGTCCACAGAAGTTCTTCAAGGGCACATGTAAGGGTCCTTTAGTTCCTGGCAATCATGCCTTGTCATGCCAGTACACTGCCTGACAATGAAAGATTGCAAAGAGGTAGCTATGTTTGTCTGTTGTAGCAAAATAAAAGAAAAGCCCAGGGGCACCTTAAAAGACCAACAACAGCTGCGGTCACACGGAGCATTAGCCACGCTACAGAGACGGAAGATAGGCGGATTTTCCGGCCGCAATCACACCGCCACATCTGGGAAGCGTAGAGCTCCTGTGGCGAACCCAAGGTACTAGTTTCCGGAAACTGTAGGCCAAGGGCCAGCGCCCGGTCGCTTTTCCTGTGGAATCCCGTGGCATCCAGCGCCCGCCCATGTCCCGTCGCAAACAGGGTTTTTTTTCAAGTCTCCACAGGATGCGCACAAGCACCCAACGGCACATGCGCACAAAGAGGAAAACGAAAGTTCTGTTACTCCGCAGAATCTCGCATGCTGTTGAATGCGAAACCAAAAGCTCCACTCTTCTGTCGCACTCTGCATGCGCAGGAATGTTTTAGGAATGCGACCCATAGCCACAATTCGGCATTAAGCACACTTCGAAGCATGGGCAGGGCTTTGCGGATTCGATTGCTCGTTGATGCGCATGCACAGACTTTGTTGGGAAAAAACCCTCCCTTTTGCCACGGAAGCGGCACCTAGCAATTGCTGGTGTGACCGCGCCATGCCGCTTCTTTGCTGTGCTGCAGGATGGTCGTGTGATCAGCACCTCCCCCTAACCACAGGACCTTGACGGGACGTCTGATCATGCAGCCGCACGTTATTTTGCTCCGAGGCAAACAGCCATGCTCCCCCCCCCCCGCATTTTCCCGCCCGTGTGACCGGGGCCAACATTTATTTCATGAGTCAGATCTTCCATCTGAAGAAGTGAGTGTGACTCACAAACGTTCGTACGGAAATAATGCTGTGTAGGTCCCGCTGGACTTGTATTTTGCTAACAATGAAAGAGGGACCAGGAGAAAAGATCATAATAAATAATAATCTTCCAATTTATTAATCGCTCAATCCTGCAGAGCTTGCTGGCTCTGAGCGATTTACAGTTACTCAAATACACACGGGACTAACAATGATTCAAGGGGTAAGGGAGGACAACATATAATCTTTAAATCACACACGTTCGCAGCCGACGGGGAGTTTGTTCAGCTGTAAGGTCAGACGTGTTCCAGCGGCATTTTCCCCTCGGCGTGGCTTGATGTCGTCAGCTTTCTCCGGACTGCTTCAAGTTGCAGCGCGGCACTGCCACCGCCTGGCCGGACGGCCCATTACAGGCTTCCATTGATGCCGAAGAGTTCTTTCTAGGCTTTTCGGTCTTACGCCCTGGACCTTCCGTTCACCAGCTAACACCTCCCCCACCGGAGGGTTTAGTATGCCCACCCTCTCTAAGGAGTGGTACCCATTTTATCTACTCGCCGAAGCTTTTGAACTGCTGGGTGGACGGCGAGCTGGGGACAAGGCTGGTAGCTCACACCAGCACGGGGCTAGAACTGACAGCAGCTCTGTTCAGCTCAGATGTATTAACCAGAGGATAAATCCCCTGTGCCACCGCTCATATACTGCGGGGCTGTCAAACATAAGGCCCAGGGGCCGGAACCGGCCCACCCAGAGCTCTTATGCGGCCCACAAGCAACTAGTGCAAGGGAGGGAAAAAGAGACTTCTGGCGGGTGGAGCCACTTGTGGCTTCTGCTATGGTGGAAGAACCTCGTCCGCAGCAGTCAAGCAGCGTGGGGGTGTCTGCCCACTGTTGCGCCGCTGGCTCTCCGGTCCGCCCAGGTGGGTTTTCCTTTGCACCCCCCCTCCCAGCCCACGGGGCCTTGCTGTGAAGGATACAACAACCCAGAGCTTACCAGCTGCTGTCTTTCGTACAGTTTATATCTCCAGGACCTGGCATTACATTTGCTTGCACACGTGACCTGGCCCAACAAAGTGACATTTATGTCAGATTCGGCCTTTGTAACAAATGAGTTCGACACCTCTGATGTACTGGCTCTACCTTAAACCAGTGTAAGCTGAGTTCATGAGGCTATTATATGTCAAACACGCACAACCGCACAACTATCCTCAACACTGTGCTCCCTTTTCTGGCCATGGGGGTGGGAAGTTCAGCACAGACTCTTAAACGTACGAATCCAAACTATCTCAAACCATTTAGTAAGGTTTGCAGATAATGAACTAAAAAGGGGGAAGGGTGAGTATTGGAGGCTGTGATAGGTATCAAGAGATGCTGGTTGTCAAAGAAACCCCCCCCCCACACACACACACACAGAAACTTGGATTCAGGTATCTAGTTCACCTTAATAACTGGCAAATTTTAATTGTATCTCTCTTGGAGATTTAAGAGGTCATTTGCGAACAAGTGGGTCTTTTCACCTGCGAACCCTATTTTTCCCCTGTCTCCCCGTCTCCAGGGTATCTTTAACCAGTTTCAGTGCAGTAGTGAGAAGGTGTTGCCTTCCGATGCTCTTCGTAGCGCTCTTGCAAAGACCTTTCAAGATGAGCAACGCTTCCAGCTGGGCATCATGGACGACGCTGCGGAGTGCTTTGTGAGTAGTGACATCTGCAGAATAGCCCCAAAGAAATCCTTGCCTGGCCAAGCAGGGATTAACCAAAGCAGCACTCAGAGTCTCGTAAGGAAAGCCTCTGCTCAATAATAGGGTTATCAATTGTAAGTCCATTTCTGTAAATAGAGATTAGGAAGGAATATTTTATGTTGCGTGGTTTTCTACCATCTTTCCACCCAACCGAGAGTCCTCAATACAGGGAACAGTCAGAAGCATTAAACACAAGGTTTGCGTAAATACAAAGCAGTGAAAGGAATCACAGACAGGGAGGCGGCTCAGTGAGGGAATGCCAAATAGAAAATCCCCACCCGCTGGCAGAAGACCATGATGGGGGGGGGGGACAGGGGACTCTCCCTGGGGAGGGGATGCCGTCGTCTTGGTGGTCTTGGTGCCGTGGCCAAGAAGCTCCCACCTGACCCGGGGACGGGGACTGTTGTGGCCGAGCGGGCCGATGCAGGAGCAGGTGCTTCTCGTACAGCAGAGCATGAAGTTGCATTTGTGGTAGACCGGGGGGGGGGGGGGGGGGGGGAGCACACTGGGGTGGGGGGGAAGGCCCCTTTGAACTCAAAGGAGCGATGGTATTAAAAGCCCGGGTAGGAGGGATTCTCTTTTGAGTGCTTGAGTACATGGAGGCTCCTCAGCAGGAGGCTTTCTTGCCTAGTAAGATTGTTTCCCCCCCTCTGAATTTGTGTAAGATGTTCAGGCTCTGCTGGACAAATCATTGAGCTGAGGTTGTCAGGAAGAGAAACATGTCCTGCCTAGTGTCAGCAAACAGGCTTGCCTTGTACCAAGTGAACCTGCCAGCTATTCGAGCGGACAGGCACTAAGTCATGCCTGTGGTCCCAGCAGTGCTGCCCGCGCCTTGGAGATCTGGCCCGGGTGGGGAGGCCAGCCTCCAGGTGGGACCTGGGGATCGATCCCCTGGACTTACAGCTCATCGCCTGAGATCCGTTCCCACGGAGAAAGTCGAAGTTTTGGAGGGTGGGCTCTGTGGCTTTGCATCCCCACTGAGGGGGTCCCTGTCCTCCCCAGGCTCCACCCCCCCCCCCACATCTCTGGGAGTTTCCCAGCCTGGATCTGGCAACCCTGCCCAATTGCCGGGGGGGGGGGAGCGCCTGGCAACCCTGGGGCCTGGGTGCTAAGCAATTGTGGAGGCACATAAAGCATAAAGATAAAAGCGAGCTTATATTAGCAACACCAGGTAGAGGAGTCAATGAATTTGGAGGAGGAGGAGGAGGAGGAGGAGAGGGGGACGATGATGGAGATGGAGGCACTGCTCTGCCCTTGAGCCAAACCTGCTCTGGCCTCTGAATGTTTGTCAGGACAAAGAATGGTAAAACCCGAGGATTCACTAGCAAATTCATGAAAGGTTAACTAGTTTAACAGCCTGCATAGGTGGAGTGCCAAAATAGCTGTTTGTGTTAGTAACAAGCTCTGTCCTCCTCCCTTACTTCTTAAGTGAATTTAAGACTTCTCGACTGAAGATCCCAACCCACCCTAAAATGTCACTTTGATTGACTCTCTTATTTTTGGTCTACAGTTACTCTAAACACTTGTTTCCACTTCCTTTCTTCCTGTGTGCAGGAGAATCTCTTGATGAGGATTCACTTCCACATTGCCGACGAATCTAAAGAAGATATCTGCACTGCCCCACACTGCATTTCGCACCAGAAATTTGCCATGACCTTATTTGAGCAGGTATGATGATGACACATCTGCAACTGACTTCATTGTGCCTGTCCTGGAGGGCCCAGGGCATCAGACCCCGGGAGCTAAGCAGGGTCAGGCCTGGCCGGTGTTTTGAGTGGGAGACCACCCAGGAAGCCCAGGGTCGCTACGCGGAGGCAGGCCACGGAAAGCCACCCCGGAAGGTCTCTTGCCTTGGAAACCTCACGAGGGGTTCCTACAAGGTGGCAGCGACTTAACCGGGGGCGGGGGGGGGGAGTAGAGACACGGATGGGTGTGTGTGCTTTTGTTTAGTGTACCAAAATTTCATCTCTCCGGCTCAGTGTGTCTGTACCAGCTGCGGCGCTACCTCCGACCCTCTGCCCTTTATCCAGATGGTGCATTACATCTCCACCACGTCTCTCTGGTGAGTCTCTGCTTTTCGCACTGGGAATAGAAGAGCCGACCCTTGGCTCAGTGTTGGGCGTGGCAATAAGCACCTGAGACGCGATGCTCCAGGTTTGCGTTAGGCACAGAGGGTGAGACAGAGGTGCATACAGCTCACCTACTAGGGAGGGAAAGTGAGAATGACACATGTATGGGGAAGAGCCTGTGGCTCCTTGTTCAGAGGCAGCAGGTGGCTGGCCAGTGACAGGCTCATTACAGATCCTAATCTGAGAAATGAATTCTTGCCACAGAAGACAGGCACAAGAGCCTCTTCTCTGAACGTGGAAGTGGCTGAGCCAGAAAGAGGAATTGAGTGAAGAGCTGGCGTGTCCCACTCCCGTCTTACTTCTTGGAAGCTAGTTTAACCCTGTAGAGCATAGAACTCTGTCGAGTGGAGTGGGCTCACAGGGCATGAAGAAGAAGGAGGAGGAGGAGGAGGAGGAGCTTAAGAAGGGCTGCATGAAAAAATATTAGCTAGACTGTCAATAATTAGCCCAAAATACTTGATAAAGATATTCATCATTTTAAATGGCTGATTGGTGTCTGTTTTAACTGTTCAGTAAGTTGATTGGAGCTCTGGAGAAAAGGTAATAGAACACTTCAGTAAAGAAAATAAAGCAATATATTGTTATTTATTTATTTATTTATTGAGATTTATACCCCGCCCTCCCCGCAAGGCGGGCTCAGAGCGGCTTACAAGGGGCATTCATTGTTATGAATCCCACCTTGCATTAACTTTTTACTCAACTGCCTAGCAAGTTTTTTTTTTCTTTTCAAAGATCTTAATTGACTTGGCAACTGATTCTTCCTACTTTTTATGGTTGTATTTCACTATTTCACGACTCAGAGAGCCAGACTGGTGTCGTGGTTAAGCGCGCAGACTCTAATATGGGAGAGCCGGGTTTGAGTCCTTCACTCCTCCACTTGCACCTGGCTGGATGACCTTGGGCAAGCCGTAGCTCTGATAAGAGCTGTTCTTGAAAAAGAGCCGTTTCTGTCAAGAGCTCCCTCAGCTCCACCTGCCTCCCAGGGTGTCT